ATTACTCTAATAAAATAAATATTCCGTCGATCGCTCACCGCGATCGACCAAACAACCACTCGATGTCCAAGTAATAATTAATGATACCAATAATTATAATAATAATAGTAATAATAATAATAATAATAATATTCAGATGGTACTGTCCCTCACTGCAATATGTTCCCCCCTGTTGGCGTGTTTGACGTCATTCGCCCTAATCGGCTGGATGGGGTTACCGTACAATTCGGTGATGAGCTTAACGCCTCTGCTGGTTCTCGGAATTGGTGGGCAGTATTTTATAAATTATTTTAATGAGCAGATTTTTGAATTCACACTCAGTCAGTCCAAAAAGGTGGCCATCAATCTGTACCCAAATGAGCACAACTATGCCCAGAATTGTGCCGAATAGTGAGCACATGTCTCTAATGGTTTCTCTCTAAAATGAATGCAGTCAGTCAGGTGTGGATGATGCGTTCCTGTTGATCTATACGTGGAATAAGAATAGTGCTCTAAGTAAGCACTATCCTCCTGTCACAGCCCAAAATCACGCAGCTTATCGAATGCAAATGACCATTCAACAGATCGGACCGAGCATCACCATTACATCACTGACCAATGCTCTCGCATTCTCTGTCGGTACTTTATCGCCAGCAAGATGTGTTCGTCATTTATTATTATTNTTATTATTATTATAACTTGATCACTTACTCTTATAATTATGAAACTAATCATGGGACAGTTCAGATGAGCCTATTCTGCGTCTGTACAGCACTGGCGATGTTGCTGGATTTCATATTTGAGTTGACTTTATTCAGTCCATTCCTTGTGATCACGTCCAGATGGGAGAATAAAGATACCAAATCAAATACTACCAGGTTTCATTATACTCATCTTATTATTATATTATAATTTTAAGGAGAACACTAAAACTGATAAATAATTAAGCGCCATCCCAAGTCTATGGTTGAACTACTCCCGACTGATATTATCGAGACTCGGTCAAGTCATGGTGGTGACTGTGATGATAACACTCTACATAGCCACATTCTTTGGTATCAGACAAATGCAAACAACATTCGACGCATCAAAAACATTCCCATCTGACTCTCCACTCAAAAAATGTGTCGAACTTGTGGACGTTATCTATAAGCAGGTCATTACTATTATTATTACTATTTTACTATTATACTATTACTATTAAACTATACTATTATAATTATAAACTATAAATTACAAACTATAACTATAAACTAT